TTTGCATACACAAAGTTAGTTACTTAAGCGTTAAAACAGATATTTTATGCTCGATTAAAATTGCGATGAATGAACTTACCGCGATTGGTGATCTCGTTGCCGGCATTGCGATTGTTCTCGTCCTGGCCCCCCATGCCGGCAGTCTTTGACTTCCTGGGCACCGCCGTATCCTCCTCCTCGTCCTCGTCGACATCCTCGCCCGTTTCCACCCCGTCGTCCTCCTCATCATCGGCGAGAGCTGTTTGGGTGGTGGTCAGAGGCGGAGCAGCGGTCTTCGTGGAGCTGGGACCCAGATCAAGGCTGGTCAACAGGTTGCCTGCCGACTGGGAGGACGTTAGGGTGTCCTTGTGATAGGAGCTGTGCCGGTTGCCCAGCTTAGTGGAGAGCGTTAGGTCGCCGTTGCTCGATTGGCGCAGACTGCCCACCACCTGGCCACCGGGCAGGGTGGCGCTTCTCTTGTGGCGACCCTTCGACTTGGGAAAGGCGGCCAGGATGTTGAGCCACCACTGGGACTCCTCCGAACTGGTGCCCTTCACAAAGGTCACGCGCTCGGGTGCGGTTATGGCGATGGAGTTGGGGTGACCTGTCACCTCCACGGCGCCGGTGACCTCCAGCACTTTGGTCATGTCCACGCACGCCTGCGGAATGGTTTCCGGCTGTAGGAAAGATATGTTAGTTATTAGGTGGGCATGTTGTATTTTTAAGATTTAATATGCATTAAAATTAGGAGCAAACTTGTGCCTATAATTAATCGGTAGTAAAATAAACCGTTTTTTAATTTATTGAGTAGCTTAGTACGACACTAAAAATAAATGAATCTGGCAATTAGGAAGCCACTTTAATTCCACCACTTCATAAATAATCGGCTGGTTAAGGGAATGTACATTTATGGTTGCTTGTGTCCGCCAGCACACTTTCTGCTTCTACCGATAACGCTCAGTAATGCTTTATCACCATAATTATAAGTTCTTTTGGGATTGTATAATATTTTACGAGCTCCGTTATCTTACCACCCCACAACAGAAAGTGGTATTATCTTTTTATTATTTGTTATCACTGCAGAACAAACGAGGCGGCATTTAAAACAGGAAACTTAACTATTCTTATGCTTGGTATAATAATTTACCAAATGCAAATGTTCGTCTAATTTTATTATACGAAAACTGTTTAAATTATATATGCTAGCCAATTACTTACATAATCATCAACCGAGTACGTCAACTCGCCATCGTCATAGAGCACAAACCATCTTCTTTGCCAGCGCTGCAATTGAAAAATAAGAAAAATATTATTAAAAGCACTAATATGCGGAGTTCTCAAACATCCAACTATTCACAAGTTTCTATTATGTGATCTACACTCGGTTGTAATTCCAAGTTTACGGCGATTGGTCGATGAGAGTGATCAACGCTAAAACAAATTTGCATTGTCGCTTGCAATTTGCAATATGAAAGGTGGGACGAGAAATGGGGGGAAAGACAAGATCGGCGGTAAATAATGTTCAACGCCCCCGACAGAAATCATAATTCCTTTATAATTCGTTCTTTCATAAATTTTCAGGCGTTGTCATTCCCATGAAAGGCAACCGAGCCCCAACGCCTTCGCCTTTCCATTGGCACTGATTCGTTGTGGATCTGTATCTGTATCTGAATCTGAATCGGAATCTGGATCTGGATCTGATTCTCATTGTTATTGTTGGTTGCCAGAATCATAACAAACGTGCAACAGCCACAAGGGCATAGGACTCAACGTGTGTCTGATATTTATGCAAATTGTTAAAAGTCAAAGCAAATTAAGCTCAACCTTCAGCGAAGATGACGTTCAATTCTGTTGCCCCATTGCGTTGCAAGTTGCTGGTTGCTAGTTGCAAGTTGCAAGTTGCAAGTTGCACCTTCCTGCAGTTGATTTCTCCTCATCTGAGGAGTGAGTGGAGTGCTGAGGTGTGTCAAGCGTATTATTTATAAGGCCTAGAAGAAGGCAGCTCGCACGCGAATAATCAAGCCTCAGTACCAATTTTTAGTTTATAGCCCAGTTCTTTATATGTTTTGTTATTTTTTTCACTATTTTCGCTATTTGGCGATTGAATTCATACATATGCAATCAAATCCATGGAGTGTTTGAGCCCGCAAGAACGTAGCAACTAACGAAGTGAGAGGTAACAATATTTGGGTGATCAAAAGCAATAATCAAATATCTGCAATAAAACGAAATGAACTACATTTGAATTAAGTATATAATTGTTTTCGCTTGCAACAGAAAATCATATGAGATAGCCGCTTTGCGGTTTCCCAAAACCCCAAAGCAAGTCGAGCGTGGAGGAAACCTGATCAGATCGCGGGAAAGATTCTCTGCACTCAATTACGTCAAACCAGGTTGATTTCCTCCTTTGCGCTGTCGAGAGATTGCCAAATGGGTCAAATGGGTCAGGCAGTGGAATAGTAAATTAGATTATGTTTGCATCGAGATGCAGTGCAAGCCGCGCCCCAAATAAATGGAACGTGCGCTAGGGTCCCCCCTTCCCGCCCACTGGGAACCCTTTCACCGCCCGTTTTGCCATTTTTCCATTCTTCCGCTTTTCCGCTTCTCTACACGTCGCATTTCCCACATTGTTCTCTAGTACATTAGCGGTAAGCTGCTTAGACCCCGGCGTTTAGAAGCCCCAGTTTCGTTTCACCAGGCAGACACTCGCAGCGGGAAGACAATGCCACCGCCCCAATCCGCCGGGGAGAAGACATCTCAATGCTGGCGAGTATCTATCTTGTATCTTGTATCTATGGGCATGGGCATGGGTGTGCGTTGGTGCAATGGTGCGGCAGCTGGTGCAAATCGGTTTTGGCAGGTACGCCGCTGGCGTCATTACCCCCCAGAGGTTGAATGTCACCGGCAGCATGACTTGGGGGCCAAGCCGATAAGGCGCACACTTTCCACTGCACAGGGCACACGTTTAAAAACTGTAGCAAGCACCAATATTGTTCAAGATAATTGGTGCGTAGGCTGAACACACTTGCCAGCAAGTTAAGACGCTGTCAATTAAAATTCTTTTAAGCATGACATGAACTTGAGTGTAAATTTCTTCACCAAAACAGAACATTAATTCGGGAACATTATCACCAAAAGCTTTCGCAACTACAGAAAATACAGAGAAATCTATAAATAAATTCTTTTGACGTAGGTGCGAAGCAAACAAGAAACAAATAGGAAAACGAACTTGAATTTATTTTCTTATATGCTAATTTCATTATATTTGCATGCATGAACGCCATCATTTTGAGCAGTGCACCTCCAATAAAAACGGTTTTGGTTCCCCCAAGCAGCAAGAAGACGTTAGGCACGTTTGCTGATAAGGAAAACTGTAGCCCAGACTAGGCCAGACCATATTAAATTAACGTCTGGAAGCGCGAACAGTCATACGATGTTGTTTATATTACTTTGCGGTCAGTTGCCAAGGCAGAAGAGCAACCCGTTCGATTAGTGGGTCAAATCGGAAAATGAGTTATTGATTGGGGGAAAATGTTGCGCTGAAATTCTTAATCAGTACCGAAAATTTCCAATCATGCACTCCCCAAGTGACCGTATACCATATTTGGACTAGTGATAACGCTCAGTGCGACCACCAAGATTATCAAAAAAAAAACCTAATATGAATAAATTAATAATAGATTTAACTTTTATGAATTTTTAATCGTCCCCAAAGCTTTCAGAGAATTTGGCCACATAAGACCCAATATCTCCAGAGATTTTAGTCCATATATTTTCCAATTAGGTGAAACAATTCGTATACATACATATACGGTTTTATATCAAAGAACAGGTTTAAGTTTTATGCAAATTGAAAGCTTCTTTTTTTCCGCACGCTTATCTCTTTCCTTCTCATCATATGTGCTATTGCCCTTGCAGTAGCCTCCTCCCACATTATATTTAACGCCCTAAATACACAAGATGTACGAGAAAATATTTGAAAGAAAATTTGTTTTTTGCCAATTAGTTTCTAAGGCGTTTCTCATCTATTTAAATTTAGTAGAAATGTAAAGATAGGTGGTAAAACATTATTGTATTTAGTTCATATCAGCACTAAAACTAAACTCGAGAACTTTTTGTGACTTTTAATTTTTGCTAACACTTCTATTTTCTATAAAGATATATTAAAATTTGTAATAATTAAGAACTAAGAAATAAAGAACAATTTAAAATAAAATATTTTAGTAAATGTGAATCTGCTATGCGAACATGGGTTAAGTCGAGCTGCATTTGAAACCGCTACTCTGGCTCGTCCGCAAATGTGGGCTTGGTCGCTTTTGCGGACAAGTGAGATTGCTAATGAGCTGCTTTTAGGGGGCGTGTTGAGCTAGCTTTCCAACATTTCTAGATTGATTCTACTACGCTGCCCCCAGCAGGCACCCCCAGCCCCCCATCCCCTCCCGCTGGGCCCCAGTTTCAGTATTACACGTATGCAAATTAAGCCGAAGTTCAATTGCGACCGCAGCAACAACGCGAGCTCGGATCTTTCTACACTTCTGCCCGCTGTGCTTGACATTCACAAGGTCAAAGCTCTTGGCGTTCTGACTCGGGGTCCTACACTGTACGAAATTACATTATGCATTTTTAAAATATCCCTAATTTTAAAGATCGTTCGAAAAACGGTATAATGTCAGAAGGGCTTACGAAGAATTCGTCAGAGAAATTTATAATAGTAATAATTTAAGTATATAATATATATGTACATGCATCTATATATTAAGCAATATTTTCATATATTTTATGGGCTGATTATGATTAAAATTGGACTCAATTTTTTCTCAGTGCACTTCCTGGTGTTCCATTTTCTATTGGACCCGTACCCGGCGTTTGTTTGCAGATCACTTGCTTGCAATTTATTATAGCATTTTACACATTACAAATTTATGGACGTCGCTGCCGCTGCCGCAGCCGCTGTCGACGTCAACTGCACTCGCCCCCACGACAAAACGGTATTTAAGGAGCTGTGCAAGTCCAAGGCGCCGATTATTGTCTCAGTGCAGTTGTCAGTTGCAGTTCAGCAGACCGGCTAGCGAGTACTTGCATCTCTTCAAATTTACCTAATTGATCAAGTAAGTAGGAAAGGGCACTTATTATGCAAGTGCGAATGGTAAAGAACCAGTGTTAGACAGCGCAGCATAATAAAATCAATTGTATTCAATCAAAATGAATTCAAAGCGGCACAAGCAGTGTCAAACCTAGTAACAAATTAAAATTTGGAGGCCTGTGCCGTGCCGAATATTTGACTTGGAAAATCACCTGTTATTCAACCGCTAAAAATAGGAATTTTAACATAAACCACCCCTGTTATACGGCGGCGTGCCTTCGTTAGCTATCTCAAAAGCGAGCGCGTGCAGACGAGCAGTAATTTTCCAAGCATCAGGCATAGTTGGGCATAAATTATAAACATACAAACTGAATACTAATATAGAAAAAGCTTGCCGCCACAAAATCCCAAACAAAAACAAACCGAGAGTGCCAAAAAATAAAAATAAACCATAAACTTAGCAGCGCTGCCGTCGTTGCCGGCTGTGAAGCTTGCGGCGTACATAGCCGAGATCGCGTAATGATAGATAAAGAAAAGCTCTACGTAACCGAAGCTTCTGGGGGATAGATCTTCCTATAAATACGGGCCGACACGAACTGGAAACAAACAACTAACGGAGCCCTCTTCCCATTGAAACAGATCGAAAGAGCCTGCTAAAACAACATGGCATTCACCTTGACCAACAAGAACGTCATTTTCGTGGCCGGTCTGGGAGGCATTGGCCTGGACACCAGCAAGGAGCTGGTCAAGCGTGATCTGAAGGTAAGTAGGCGATGTGCGCACATGCATCCATTGGATTGAGGTTAAATTCGTGTTATCCATCCTAGAACCTGGTGATCCTCGACCGCATTGAGAACCCGGCCGCCATTGCCGAGCTGAAGGCAATCAATCCAAAGGTGACCGTCACCTTCTATCCCTATGATGTGACCGTGCCCATTGCCGAGACCAGCAAGCTGCTGAAGACCATCTTCGCCAAGCTGACGACCGTCGATGTCCTGATCAACGGAGCTGGTATCCTGGACGATTACCAGATCGAGCGCACCATTGCCGTCAACTACACTGGCCTGGTCAACACCACGACGGCCATTCTGGACTTCTGGGACAAGCGCAAGGGCGGTCCCGGTGGCATTATCTGCAACATTGGATCCGTGACTGGATTCAATGCCATCTACCAGGTGCCCGTCTACTCTGGCACCAAGGCTGCCGTGGTCAACTTCACCAGCTCCCTGGCGGTAAGTTAAAACGACTAAATGACTGAAACAGCAAAGTAAACGAGCTAATTTCCTCAATGACACCTCTAGAAACTGGCCCCCATCACCGGCGTGACCGCTTATACCGTGAACCCCGGCATCACCCGCACCACCCTGGTGCACAAGTTCAACTCCTGGCTGGATGTTGAGCCCCAGGTGGCCGAGAAGCTCCTGGCTCATCCCACCCAGACCTCGTTGTCCTGCGCCGAGAACTTTGTCAAGGCCATCGAGCTGAACGAGAACGGTGCCATCTGGAAACTGGACCTGGGCACCCTGGAGGCCATCCAATGGAGCAAGCACTGGGACTCCGGCATCTAAAGAAGTGATACACCCAAGAAGCACATAGCATTAGTTCATAGGGTTCTGCGAACCAAGAGATATTCACGCAAGGCAATAAGGCTGATTCGAAGCACACTCACATTCTTCCCCTAATACGATAATAAAGCTCTCCATGAGAAGTATGGAAAAACTATATGAAAATTGAGAAATCCGAGTATTTGATAAGCCCTCTACTTAATTAAAATAGATAAATGGGAGTGGCTGGAACGGCAGGAATGGCGGAGCTAGCCCAGTTCCTCCCGCCAATCAGTCGTAAAACAGAAGTCGTGGAAAGCGGATAGAAAGAATGTTCGATTTGACGGGCAAGCATGTCTGCTATGTGGCGGATTGCGGAGGAATCGCACTGGAGACCAGCAAGGTTCTCATGACCAAGAACATAGCGGTGAGTGAGCGGGAAGCTGGTGGCTTTGGGGTTCGGTTTCTGCCCAGATCGAACTCAAAACTAGTCCAGCCACTAGTCGCTGTCGAAACTAATTAAGTTAATGAGTTTTTCATGTTTGTTTCGCGCTGTGCAACAATTAAGTTTATGTTTTTGTTTCGCTTAGATCTCGTTCAAGGACTTTGCACTTTCGCTCGCCAGGGCGAAACATCGTTGCAATGATGTTTAGGGAAGAGCATAACAAAATCATAAATTATTCTATTAACTTGGGTGGTCATAGTTGTTCTAAAATGATAACTTATCTTGTGCTTTCATAGAAGATTCGTTATTAAACCACCAATGAAGTCTATTTCTAAGAGCCAGATAAGCAACTGTGTAAATATTTATATTCTTTATCTGGAAATTTAGAGACACGGGGGAGTTGCTATTTACCATAGGCCAAACCATTTTTAACAGTTTTGCCCTTTAGAAACTGGCCATTTTACAGAGTGTGGAAAATCCTCAAGCCATCGCACAGCTGCAGTCGATAAAGCCGAGCACCCAGATATTTTTCTGGACCTACGACGTGACCATGGCAAGGGAAGAAATGAAAAAGTACTTTGATGAGGTGATGGTCCAAATGGACTACATCGATGTCCTGATCAATGGAGCCACGTTGTGCGATGAGAACAACATCGATGCCACCATCAACACAAATCTAACTGGCATGATGAACACTGTGGCCACGGTGTTACCCCATATGGACAGAAAAATGGGAGGATCTGGTGGGCTTATTGTGAACGTTACCTCGGTCATTGGATTGGACCCCTCGCCGGTTTTCTGCGCCTATAGTGCATCCAAGTTCGGTGTGATTGGCTTTACCAGAAGTCTAGCGGTGGGTTGCATGCAATCTTATGCCTATACATTTTTTAACTAATACATTATTCAGGATCCCCTTTACTATTCCCAAAACGGGGTGGCTGTCATGGCGGTTTGTTGTGGTCCCACAAGGGTCTTTGTGGACCGGGAACTAAAAGCCTTTTTGGAATACGGACAATCCTTTGCCGACCGCCTGAGACGAGCTCCCTGCCAATCGACTTCGGTTTGCGGTCAGAATATTGTCAATGCCATCGAGAGATCTGAGAATGGTCAGATATGGATTGCGGATAAGGGTGGACTGGAGTTGGTCAAGTTGCACTGGTACTGGCACATGGCCGACCAGTTCTTGCACTATATGCAGAGCAATGATGAAGACGACCAAGATTAAATTCGAATCAAATAAAATAATGCTCTACGCAAAAAGTAGGCAATTCATTTTTCTATTATAATAGATATGGGTCATCTATGGGGTGTGAAACAATAATGACAAATTCGGCGTGCCCAAAAGTATGCAGCGAATTTTGACGGGAGCTATAATTAGATGTGTTTAATTATGATGTTGGTGTTCTATATGATTCCGTGTTGTGGTAATACTATACTGATTTTATACATCAATCGTTTATGTGCTTTCTTTCAACCTTTGATCTAAATTGTAAGTGCAAAGTCAAGTCCAACTACCCAAGGCTTTTACACCATCAATATTCGTTGTCTGCCGTGCAGATTTCTAGACCGTCTCTAGTGCATCTCAACTATGCGAATGCATGTCGAAATTTCGCTAGAGCAATGCCGTGCATTGAACTTTGGCACATTTCCAAACGCACAGTCAGCCAGTCAGCCATAGGAAATCCAATCGGACGACCGAGAATCGAATGCGAAAACAAACAAATCTGCCGACACATTGCCCAGGAATATTGGCACTGCGAGCCTACAGATACACCAGAAGAAAAAGTGCATAAAGTGTACGTACACCTTAATTTAGCTATTTTCGGTACTAATCCAACGCAAGAGCCCTAGCTGGAAAAGCTTTCAGCTCAGCTGTGAAAAGTTCAATCTGAAAATGTCTTGAATATTTTCTTGTTGAATCTATGAACAAGAAAATGTATCTACTTCTGCTATTGTCTGGGTTTCTTCTTTTTCTCAGGGTGTAGCCATATACCAGCTATATGGTGGGGTGAGTTGTGGCCACGCCGCCTTGGCATACTTCCAATTCGAGTGCGTTGTCTTCCTTCTAGTCGGGGCCACTCGGTTCGTAAAAAATCAATAGCCAGCAGACCAAAAAGAGCCACCATACCATCGGACATTGAGGACCCAACGCAGCGGAATGGAACCAACGGAATCGCATGGAGTGGAATCTGGCCAGGCCATATCAAAGCATTTTTCCAGAGTACCCACTCCCTGCCATCTGCTGCCGTTGCAAGTTTGCTTTCCTTTCCATGGCGCAACTTAATTCCAAAAATCGATTAGTCACTGTAAGCGAACCATGCAATTGTCCAGCATTTTTCATTTATAACTCCTTTTTTCGTTTAATTTTTGCTGGTTTCCTCCCCTTTTCCTTTTTCATTTTCCATTTTTTTTTGTTTTTTGTTTTTTTTTTTTGGCACACGCTTGATTAATTTGGTCAGCTGCCGGGCGGCAAAGGGGGGAGGACATTTAAAAATGCAGGAAGTAATCGATTGGCTAGGGCACAATAGCCAAAATGGGAGAGGCGGTGCAATCGCAAAAATGTTGGGGCAGGTTAGCCTAAAGGAAATGCCGGAAAATATTGAAAATTACGATACAAGATACATTGCTGGAATAATAAATATTCTCGGCCCATAATTGACCAATCACACAATTATCTTTGACTCGATCATTTTTTGTTTGTCCATTTTCAAAGAGCTAACATCTGCACATTAATTTGTTGTAGGTGTACTCGTAAATGGTAAGTTGAGTTAAATTACTACAAATTATTTTTGGACGCACCTATTCATATAAAGAGTATCTAGGCTTCGACTAGTTCTAGTATTTACCACAACACTATAGATCGAACCAAAACATGCGACCGACCGGTTGCCGGCAGTAGGTGGAGATTAATCAACAACAAAATTTGCGGAAAAATGGAGGAAAAATTACTGATGCTTTTTAAATGGCAATACGTGCCTGGTCACCAGGTATTTTACTAATTAACCTGACGGATGCACGCCACCGCCGAAGAAGATAGTGATTATGCAACTGCATGGATCGCTGCTGTTGTCTGTGCATGGGCGTTGTGAGATAATGAAGCTCTGATCTGATGGCAGTTTTAGCCAACACTGATAATGCACTCATTATGGAACCTAATAGCCTTCATTACTGACTGCAAAATCAATGGTATTACAGTAATTAAGCAACCGATTTCGAGTGTAAAAACAAAGGATGGCATATATGGAATCTGATGTCCATTTTCTATTTAAGAGATAAAGGAAATGTAATTAAATGGTATACAAAATAGTTTGGAGTTTCATGATATGCCATTATCTTAAGGCACTACATGAAAAATGTTACAAGGGGTCCTAGAATATGTTATGTGATTTGCTCTATAGCTTGAATGCTGATGCTCTGATCTAGTTCGCCTCGGGCAGAGTTCACCAGTCTCGACTCGGTTTATAAGACATGCGGCAGTGTGGCAGACAAGAAACACTTGAACACATGTTAGATATGGGAGCAAATACCCCTTGCCCGCCAAACCCGCTCTCAAACTTTGAAGCTCTGTAAGCCAAGTCCCATTTGTATGGCCGACCCGTTGTCTCGGGCCTGAAACTATATAACTCGGGGACCGAGATTCCGATTTTGACTGAGACACCGATGCGGAGCTCGGAGCGGCGCATAAAGATTATCTATGGCCGCACATGGCACCAGGCGGTCAGACAAGATTATATGCGAAATGCGAAGCCAAATAACAAGTGTTACTCAAGGCAGCAAATTAATAGCCAACATTTTTCTAAACTAATCACGACAAGTGCTCCGGGTTTGAGGCTGACACAGAAAATCAAACAGCCGGCTGTAAAGGCAAACTCCAACTTGGCCAACTGGTGGCCCAAAAAAGCAAAAAAAGACAGATAGATCTGAGCGGGGCTTAAATGCCAAAAAAAAAAAAAAACAAAAAAAAAATGCAGTAAGCGAAAAATAAACATGAAGAAAAATGACAGGCAAAAACGTTACTTGCCCTCCGGGGGTCGTCGCTTCCACCTCATCCGCCCCACTCCAAATATAGCACCATTGGTCCCCCATGGACCACCATACCACCCCTCCCCCCCCTTCGGGAGTGGAGCGGAATTCGAGCCGACGATCTGGGATTCCGACACGTGCCGGGCGACAATGGGAATGGTCCAAATGTCCATAACAATGGCGCTGCAGTACAAACAGCAAGCGTTTTGTAAATTTGCGTCCATTGACACTCTGAATGATACAGATCTCACTGCTCTCGATCTCGGCTCTGATCCAGAGGGTCACCCTGTTTAACCGGGAGGGCCACCTAGCCAGCATATTGGCCCACGCAAAGTTCCTACCCCCCTCCCAGTTCAGCCCCCTCCCTGAGCTGCACTCTCGTGATACCCATTTCAGCCTTGAGGCAGCAACCACTTTGTATGTACAAGAGACGAATGTGAAATGATGTCGATGCACTGCAAGAACAGGGCCGTCCCATTGGGCTGATTAGAAATCCAAAAGAAAAATCCCAGACCATTTACTAAATTACAATCTATTCGCTTCCTATTTCAGCTGCTAGTCCTATGAAAAGCCACGATTTCTTTTAGCAACGGTTGCTTCCCCTTTCGTTTTTGCAGTGTACAAATAAGTAATATTCTCAGGGGGGGAGTCGCAAAGGGTGCTGACTGAAAGGGGGGGCTCGGGACCGGTCCTGGGTGCATGTAACACAATCAGGAAGTAATTTTTATGCTATGTACCCATAGCATGTGTCGCCGTCATCGTCGACGTAGCTGATGCTGATGCTGATGCTGCTGCTGTCGCTGTTGATTTTGCCCAGCTTGTTGCTGTTGCCGCAGCCGATGTGGATGTGGATGTGGATGCGAGTGATCCGGCCAGTCAGTGGAGACAGTCGCTCAGGCAGCCGAGAAGATGGCCGGGAAGTTGAGCTGGGTTCTCAACTATCTGCCGAGTTGTCGGGGGAATTGCATTGCGAGACCGAGCCCGAGCCCGAGCTCGAACTTGAGCTCCCTTCTCCCTTTGGGAGGCCAAGTCGAGGAACTGGGTGCATTGGGGGCATTGATTGGCAAGATGATGATGACGACGATGATGTGAGGCAATCGCTGAATCAATCTTGGCCAGTAGTTCAGCGTTTACTGTTATTAGTTGCTGGCTGGAACATTGCATTTTGATCGTTCCCAATATGGTGTGCTCTTCGTTTTTTTATTAGGAAAAAAGCCTGAGGCCATAAAATGGATAAGCAACGGGTAACAATATACATACTCGTGCATATATGAGGGAAAAGGTGATCAGATATTGTTCAACATTGTTGTCTTGTATGAGTGATTCGAATCGAAATTTACCATTTTTGTATACAGTTAATAAGACATAGAAAATATTGAAACTAACCAGTTTCTCTTGCACTGCCCTACAGTTAATTATGACACTTTAATGAGCAGAAAATGAAATCGAAACCACTCTTGCTGAACAATCCAATCAACAACTCTATCTAAACAACAAGTATCTCGAATGCAATTTGAGCTGCCCCACGAAGACCTGCGAAATGGGAAACTAACGGAAAAGCAACGAATTGTGAAATAATTCGGCAATTTCAAAATTGATGGCAAGCCAAAATTGCGGCAATAGAAATCGATTAGCGCCACGCTTCAGCTGGCCAGCAAAAAGTTAAAAAACGTTAAAAACAAAAAAAAAGCTGCAGAGTCGGAAAAAAAATTAAGTTATCGACAATAAGGAAAATGTTCAGTTGTAAACGGACTCGTGCGGAATGCGTTTTGGTCTATGCCATATTCTTTGAGTTTTCCTCTCCGGAAAACTCATTCAGCCATTAAATGCCGTTATCTGCTGATTACACAATAAAAGCACAACCACAAAGCAGCAGCAACAAATGCTACTGCAGCAGCGCCCAGAGCAAAGAGACCTAATTCGAGGCGCATCTGTAGAAGAGTTGCTGCAACTGCAACTGCAGCAGCAACAGCAACAATAGAAACATGCAATAATATAACGTAACATTCAGAACGTCTTTGTTGTTGCTGCTGCAACTTGTGTTGCTGTTACCCACAGAAAAGCTGGCCAGGAGAAAAGGCTGCCGCAACAATTTCTCGCAACATTTTGCTGCCTTGCATCATTTGGAGCTGCACCCAGAAAAAATCGCGCCATTTACAATGTAATAACTATATTTTTAATTCTTTTACCTAACTAGTTTTAACTAGCTAACGTTAGTGTCCCCAATAACAGCATAAA